AGGTGTAAGCTGCTCCATAGAAGTACGCTATATAGTAAGCAGCACTAACGGACTCTTTGAAAAAAGCGCTAGGTTAGCTGGAGCTACAATTCGATCCAGGATTTCACCGTGGCACCTCACAACTGGTTGACTCCCTCCTTATCAATGCAATGTGCCTCTGCGCTAGAAAGGACATTTATGACGACAAAATCCTCTCTCGATTTTGTCAAATTTCCCAAAGTTTTCAGTACCGCAGTGTTCCGATGCCCATCACCTGGAATATAGCCATTTTACGAGACTAATTTTGATCGAAGTCCAATACATCAACTCACGTCAACCTGTCTTGTTAGGGTTATTCCCAGCTCACTTTGTGTAGTTCAAAAGGTACATAATGTCTCGCGCTATGGACCGTCCTAATTGCATATCTATAAATCCGATTTTGAATGATTTTGAGAGCATGATAGTTGAATGTGCGTGGAGCATCTGATGGCATCACGAGCACCAAAAAGCGTTGTGATATTATTTTTAAAGTCCATTACCATATGTGCCATTAGGTCTGCAGTTATACGGCATCTGATGAAGACAGGGCATACACCGGGTCATCTGGCCGTCATCGCTGCGTAGCGACTTCTTTGGAAGTGGTGGACTTGGTCGTATCTTTGAACCCGCGTACAACTCACTTCACTCTCCATGAAGGATTCTGAAGCGGAAATTGGATAAGCCATTCCGCGACGCACCCAAAAAAAACTTCGAACTATTAAAGGGTACACTGGTGAAATCACCCAGCACAGTAATCGTAATTAACTACAGACAACACTGTCCCTTAGTCTGACTCCACGGTTCGGACGTAATCACCGCAATGAGCCAAAGACCCATGAAAAACCCTAGAACATTTGATTCTCGATGCTTGACCATGCGTTCATAAACAGAAGCTCATTAGTAAAAGACTTACTTTATTCGACTATATACAGACATTTCACCGAATGTTCGACACATAATCAAGACAATCAATCAATTAGGCATAAAACAATAAAACTACCATTAATAACTAGATCACGCGATAATTGGCGACAGTGACACAGGATTCCCGCTAACGTATGGATAAGAAGGGTAGAATTTCTGTACTGCCTCTTCGGCCAAATATCTTCTCTTCAATTGAAATGTTGTGGATGACAAAACCATTGAGCGGTAATACCTGAAAAAGCCACTGAGTTAAGTCAGACTTGATTTAATCGTACCTGTCTACTTGGCATATACGCTGCTGTCTACTCATTGAGATAATGTTTATCTGGAGGAGACGCAGAATGGCAGAGAACTGCATCATTTATGTAAGCGTGCGTGGAATGGGTCCAAGAATTTTGCGCCATTATGATTGAATACGTGGTGGGAAAATCCAAACACTGCTTGCACTTTCCTGTAGGACAGCAGTCAGTCTGGGCAGCCAATCAAGCAGGGAGCACACAGATAAGCAGGTCTTCTCACTTCTCTTTACAAGAATCGTAGCACACTACCCTCCGCCTCTAAGAATGACTCCTCCCCCTCACTATGTTCCACTTGAGCCCTCTGACCTCGAAGCAGGTTTTTTTCGTTGCTACTAGTACCAACGATGAAAGACGTATTTGCGATTTTGGGAAGGGTTGCGGGCCTAATTGCACATGAGAGGGAGCGTTTCAGACTTTTTTCTCGATTATCCAAGGAAGTTTCAAAACGTATGCATGAAGTGGTCAAAATCAGAGAATTTGCTGCTGCAAGTGGATCTACTCTACCCCCCCCCTTCTCCCTCCGCTCCTCCGAGGGAAAAAATGGGCCGAGTTGTCGGAGCATATCGACTAGCTGGTCTCACAATTAAAAAGGGGTCATATTGCGTTGAACCTCCTACCGCTCGTATCAACACCCCTGGGAAATGGGGGGAGGAGGAGTCACAAATTGTGAAGGAATACCAACGCTAGGGGTCGATCCTGCCTCAAAGTTGCGTTCTAAGATCTGTCATTGCTCTGCAACTTTCTAGGGCACTTCAAATTCTGAGAAGTCGCGCTGCTCAAACTATAGGAAGGGTAGAGACACAGAGATATGGTGGATTCATGACGCAATCCTGATCTTGGAGAAATCAGGGATAGTTTTCGAGATCCATGTTCTCTCCATAAGAGCCATGGAGCAACCGCAAGGTATTTGCAGAGAGTGAAAGCGGTAACTATTAAAAATACTGATAAATAATTCTGACTGTCATTTTATAAATGTTCAGTGAAATAAATAAAAGGGCAACAATTTACTAAATCATCACATAATAAATTGTTTTAATAATTAGGGATCATTTTGTTTCTTTGAAAATGTGCTATGATAAACGACTGAAACGTCTTAGTTCTGCAGTGTTTTTAGTGAATTAGGAAAGGAAAAATCATTATAAACAAAATATTTAACACAGGTTCGTTTCGGTTCGTTTCGCTCATTCCTCAAACGAACCCTATTATTTCGTCTTTCAAGTAGAGATCTGTGGCTGTCCCTCAGAATTTTCCAGAAAAAATCAGTTGTTTTGAATTACGAAAATTTACCTCTTCTCTTTTCTATAGTAGGCCAGTGCAGTGAGATAGACGATGCAGAGCACTAGTGAGAGACCGAAAAGAAGAGATACGAATATGAAGTACCGTGATTCTGAAATGAGAAATCTATCAATCTCTTAGTTTAGTTTTGACCCTTGAATATATAGTTTGGCCTGGGGCTAGGGTAGACCTGTTAATTACTGTACTTGTCGGTAATTGCAAAGAACTCAAATGTGGCCAGGGGTGCTATAGAAGAAGGTCAGTAATCACAAGGTCATTCATTTCCCATGCTTACAGTACCACAGCACTTGACTGGTTTCCAAAACCATACAGCATCCAATAGTGGAGCATTAGGCGATTTTCCCGATCCCTTTCCAGAAAAATTCCCCTTGGCATGATGGAAAGAGGATGCTATGTGGGGTATACGGGGAGCAAGAGTGATAGGGGAGACGTGTTGGAATTAGTAAAGAGACCTCATGTGAACCGAAACCTCTAGAAAGAAAAAAGAAAATTCCCAGGGAAGAGGGAGCAGTAAGGGGCTGGTGGTGCGACAGTTGGTGCCGCCTGCAGAAATTCCAGTTTCCGCGGGGAAAGAAATCTCCGAGTTGCGTGCACCATATCGCTTTCGCCTTTACCCACCCCGTAGCTTACCACCTCCAAAAAATGGATCGCTTTGGGCGATATGAACTGTCACAACACGTCCCCCCCCCCTCCTCAGACCTAACAAAAGCATTGTTCGAAGCGTAAAGTCTGATTAAGACGCCTGGCACCGATTTTTTAAAGAATAACGGCCTAATGCGCAATTAAAGGGACCTATTGACTCACCACGAGATATGACATTATCTGCGACTTTTTTGATGTTGATGACGAAGAGCACTGCATTTCCGTTTGTGGCCAAAATCTGAAAAGAAGCTCAGCTTAGATTCGTTGGCATTTATAAAATAGTATTTATGTAAACTAAACAATTTGAGCATTTTCCAGGGGTAAAAATTGACATTGGAGTTTGCGTGACAGGAAATCAGGTTGAGCACTGGAATCAGTTTCCCAAGCCGCGGTAAACGCCTGAGTGGGACTTGTCTACTATGAACAAGTTTTAATCCCTCATGCCGGTATTTTGTACTGGACAGGTACAGAAAGACGAAAGTTAAATTCGTAGAAATGTTTCCGCCTGATGAGTTTCCCAGGCTAATCACGTGAATTATGTCTCCACCACAATTCCGAATGGAAGTTGAAAGGGTGGCGCACGCTTTTGAGGGTCGATCTTCTCAAATTCGAGGCCTAGCGTAGTACTGATCACAAAGTATGTGTAGAAAGGCTTATTGAATGCCAGAATAAAGCTGAGGCTACTGAAAGAAGTATGTGGACTTACCGATAGGAATATATGAAGGGGCTTGAGGTACACAACGCTCCAATGTGATTCCGGCCAGAAAAATTGAAAATATCAAAAGCCATTGCATGCAGACTGAGTACAGCAGTGCCTCCTCACCTAAAATACTTGTTTATTCGCTAGGCGTAACTGGATTTCGATAAACGAAAAAAAGAAAAAAGAAATAAATAATGTGACTAGAATGACATTCCCCTCCTCTATATGAAAATAGTGATGAAGCCTTGTGAGAAAGGATTATGCTGTGGTTTTTTGCTCATACAAAAACATGAGGAATTAACTCAACGATTGTGATATCGTTTTGAAATTCCATAGAAATTTGAATGCACACCAGGTATGTCGGCAAGATTCTCGTTAATGATACGCACTCACTCGCTATTGGTGCGTTGTACCTCTTCATAGGCAAAACACCAATGAAGAGCACGCAGCAGTTCACAGGACTCCGCCCACTATCACCGTGTCCGCTGACTTTAAGTCTCAAACCTTGTTAAAAGGCTAAAACCCAGCATCCAAATATTTACCCAACCTATTATAATCTTGATTTTATCCGAAAGCTGTAGCAACAAGGTAATCCGAAAAAAATAAAAAAAATTAGTTTTATAACCAAAGTAAAAAACACGAAGTGAACCACAAAGCAGAAAAGACATGAAATATTATATTCTATTCTAATTTTACATACCGAAAATATCGTCGAAAATATTCTGCTTAGCCAACGGCATCCGACCATAATTGTGAGCGAAACAGACTCCATTGTAAACAAGCGCAATCACCGCTACGGCGCTATAGGTTGCAATGTGAGTCTGAACGGAGAGGAACTGGTTCAACAAAATACAAATAGAATTAAAAGAAGTAGCAGTAAATAAAAATAGTAAACAATAAAAAATCGAATAGGTACAAGCAAGAATAAAATAACTATTAATAGAATCGAATAAAAGTGTATAATAAATAAATAGATAATATTTGGATTTCCCATGGTTTACTAGGAAATGGTGACGAAAATGTGATGGTATTCCCCTTGAAAGCGTACCTTTGAATACAATCAAAATTATGATCCACACCTCCCTCTCATTACTGCTTTAACGGACGCAAAACTTTATATTGATTGAACGCGCGTAAAATCAATATGATAAAATGTTTGCTTGGAAATACATGTTCAAGGAAAGCAGCCGATGGGACAGAAAAGATTAAAAACAAGTCCAAGCGATTACAGTAACCAACCGTTGTGAAAGGAATCCATTCCAACTTGATGTCGTTTGACTTCAGTGTTTTCGCATGAATTCGTTTGATTGGCTGAAAAAGTTGGGTGCAATTCAACGCGAATAATTCAGTTCAAAAAAGGCTAAGCCTAGCTGTTTCTGAGCTTTGAAATTCTCACCTCTTCAATGGGAATAACTGTGGCAGTGGTATGAGCGTACGATGGCGGCGGAGTGAGTTCACGAGTGTTGGATGAAGAGCAAAGAGAGAGCATATCAACTGAACGGTCGGTTTTGTGCAGCAATCTCTTATATAGCACTTCCAGACAGTCCTTGAAGGAGTTGCCATTGGCGAGTCATCTCGTGGCGAACGGCTCCTTTTATTGTCGTCTCGACAGTGCCTTTGATAACCCGCCCCTTGGAGGGCCAGCGGGCCTGCGGTGACTCTTTAGCGATGATCTCTTACCAGCTGGGTCAATCGCCAAAGATTTCTAGATTTAATTATTCTGTTCATTTTAATCTATATGCAATGAGCATCGGCCTGGTCAGCTGATGGGTGTTATGTTGGTGTTTCTTAAATTGATAGTTCGTAGAGTAACGCTGATGTTTCTTGTCAGGGTCTGAACAAGCCGAGTATTAAAGGCTAAAACAAAGCCAATAAATTTATATCAGAAGAGGTTCTCATCGAGAATTTGAAAAAAGGAGATATAATGCAATGTATGTGCAATGTATTGAATTGCATGCTCCTCTGCATGATTATTTTGTACGCCAAGTTTTACGGTTTTCTCGTCTTTCCTTGTGTCCCTTTTTCGCCAATCTCAACTCATTGATGAGCTCCGGGGATTGGGAATAAAGTTCGTCTGAGGAAGGAACGAACGACCGTTTATATTTTATTTCGCTTACGAATGTTTTCTTTGTTAATTTAATCAAAAAAGTGGAGGGTTATGGACGAATTGTAGGCCACAAGTTTTTTCCCTGCTTGAAACCAAGAACGATAGAATACTCCTGTGTAACTTTTGAGTTAGTTTCCGAGAGCAGGAGTGTCCATAAGGATACATACGTCGCTTTATGAACTTTTGGTGGGCGTTGCTCACGACTGTCTGATTCCCTCGGTAGAGAGCCCGAACGGGGGGTCGGGCAAAACCCCAACTTCACAATGAAAGGGAAAAATATTTTTTGACATGAAGCGATAAGAAGTGAAGATAGGAAAAAGTCCACTCTGTTCTTCTACATCTTCCGAAAAGCATGGCGTGGGAACTTCGAGGAGCTCATCCATTTTTGGCTATCCGTTGACGAGATGGGCCCTATTTATTCCTCTCTCGGGCCCTCTTTTTCACTTTTTCAATAGCAGTGCCATAAGAGCCTTCGTTATTTTCGTAGTGTAGAGCAGAAATTAGTAAGACGCACCGTAATGGCTTCCTTTCAACAATAATGAGGCCTTTCGTCGAAGATGGTATAGTGCTAAGAGGCTTGGTCGACGCACATTAGGTTTGGAGACCAATTTTTAAGACCACTCCAACATTCCCTCCTTACGAGGTTAGTTTTCTGGCCCCAAACTCGCCTAGGAGAACAAAACCATCGAAATGCATTTCGACTGGCCCTTCATCGTATGGTCAAAGCTCTATTCTCAAGCTAACATGATCCTAAATGGCAGCGAAATGTGAATTCCTGAATAAAATTATTGACGCTGATTTTTTTCACTTTTGTCCCAGTAAGGACATTGATTTCCTCCCTCGGGCACGATTAGCGAATCTTTTTTTTCTGATCTTTTCTTTTTTTTAGTTTTTCGGGCATTTTTTGTCCAGTAGTGCGAAGGTAATAAAATTGTGACGACGTTAACGGCACAAGGCCCACTCACTGATTTAGCCGTGGACGGAGTGGTGAAAATCTCTCAAATTGCTTGCATTTAATGTGATTTGTTTCCTGCAACCTTTTTCCTTTACTGATTTTACACAGTCTGTTTGAGTCTGTCCTTTCCAGATCTTTTTTGATTTTTTTTCCTTTTCCCACCAAATCGAGCCAATGCCATTTCATTTCCGTTCTGAGGTTGTAACTTCTCAGTGTAATACATAAATAAATTGGAAAATGAATTAATGCTAATATGAACAAGTAAATCAAATACGTAAAAAATAAATAACAAAATATATGATGGTAAATAACCACTAATAAAGAAAACCAAGAATAAAGCTTACAAATAACCTACGACGGAGCACAATTACAAGCTTACACCCACGACTTTATAGCTCCTACCTCGTAGGAGCACCCAAAAATTCGAGCCTCGGGTCTTAGTGAAGGCCCTGTCTTGAAATCAAGATTTCGCAGGTGCTCTTCGCCATGGGAGCGCGCCTTTCCCGTGAAGCGTACACGCGCCGGGATGAGTTTCACATGTAATCTCATGTCGATAGGTGGCAAAGATATAGGAGAACTTCTGGCTGGTTGCTATCACCGTGGCAGACCTTCCCATCGATTCGACCACTTCCAGAACTCTTATCCGGCTTTGACGTGTCCGCTATATAAGCAGTTCTTCTGCCGGAACCATTTCTACGGGTAAAATGAGCCCTGCCACTTCCCGAGCAGAATCACATCAAGTGAATTTTGCTTCTTCAACCTCCATCAACTACTCCTGCGCTGTTACAATGGAGAAGGATCAATTTAGCCGATTCTGTCCTAAGGATTTTCTACAATATAAGATGTTTCAGGTTTTAGAACCAGTCTCATCATTTCCCAAGACTTGTCTTTCATATTCTTCCCATCTCTCATTGAAAACCCCTAAGCTCCGCTTCAGGACGAAATCAGGTCCATATAGTGATTTAGATACTGAGCCAGGTCAGAGTAGAGAGAAACAACTACAGCGGGATCTCCAAGCCTTCTTGTAAGGTCCGGAAGTGGCGCAGTGACAAGTGGTGCCGCTTGCTATGCGCACGGGCCAGGAATCAAATTTTTCAATTTTACACTGCCCAGACCATCCAAGTCTTTCGTCCCCACGGAATTGGCTACTACTACGGCTGGGAGGATAACAACACTAAGTTGTACTTCATCGGATGGCCCGTGCGACGCACTGTGTTGATTGAATCGTATCCAACATGCCAACTGCAATCCTGAACGGCTATCGAATGCATGGCGTATCAAAACATTACTCGCTTTTATTACTCTACTCTTATTATTCTAATATATAAATAAATAAATAAAAATGAATATCGAATTCTGCCCAGCAACCACGCGGAACTCCCTTATCCTGCACTGCTTGTGTTCCTCCTCTCTCCTTGTCCTCGCCCTCCCTCCATTGTCTCCCAGCTGCACTCAGCACCTTGGAGAATGATAGAAAGTGTGCCTTCCAGGGGTTTAATACATCGCTGCCGGAGAGCGGGAAGGGGAATCGCATTCAGCGTCTCAAAGGCATTGCACAGCGCAAGCCCTGCGAAGGCTTACCAATTGTTAGTGGCCTATTTCTGTTTCACTCAGCTGCCTTATTAATTTAACTTCATTTGCGCACGGACACACAGACAAACTTACAACGAACAGGACACACGAAAGTTTTAATTCAATTAATAAAATATTAACTTGAAACATCTTCTGATTCTCCAAATAAGGTTGCAGGTTGCAGCGCTTCAAATCGGACAGGCAACTATGTACAGTAGCGGTCAAAAGTGTTCGCCGAAATGCTTTTTCGTGCATTTCATTTCTTTCCTCCAGAGAAAGATCTAAAGTTTAGTTTGAAGCCTTCCTTTCAAATAAACTTCAATAGTCAAGGTTTTGGAAGGCTTCAAAGGCATGTCTTATTGATACTTGAAGGCACTGTTTGAGTGAGAAAAAATGATGCACGAAAAACGTTTCGGCGAACACTTTTGACCGCTACCGTATGTAAATAAGCCTTGGAAGTACGCTCCAGCTCCTACCATGGAAAATTTACAGGAGAAACTAACGATATTGCAAACGATTTTCTTATTCCATTGAGGCTTTAATCACTGTTGCTCTAGATCCACAAGGCAGGATTAGACGCCAAGAGCCAGTCCCACGAGTGAGAAAGAAAGGCCCCCCAAGCGAAGTTGCGACACTGTCGGGACTCAAAAATTCAAGGCAATGGCGCTAAGATCCTTGTCTTGTAAGCTGCATGCTGTCATCCTTATCAATCGCGGCATACGTGGCGTTTGCGCCCTCTCGCGTACGACGTGCTCTCTCGTGTTTTCCCTCTCCTCGCAGCGCTGTGTCTCTCCTCATACCACGGCCGACGTCACAAGGAAAACTTTCAACGTTTTTATGACCTCTTTTGCTTCTTCTTCCGGATGACATTCCTCACCACTCCTGTTGTCAATATTTGGAATAAAATAGCCCACCAACTCAATCCCGATCCGTGCCTCTACTGGGACTGATTACCTTCTGCGGAAGGTATTATGTGTATACAACGGCTTGCCTTCATTAGTACTGTCCCTCGCAGTTGGGATGACACCACAAATACGCGAGGAAGGTTTGCATCAGGTCCAAATCGTTTCAGCCGCTCCATCTTCTTTGCTAAGTCTCCACTGGTCAAGATTACGAATCTCATATTTTAGCCTGCTTGTTTTCGTCGTCAATTGTTCTTCTATCCTTTTTATTCTTCTTTACTTTCAGGATTGCCAACCCTGACTCTCCTTCTGTGATTGGTGATGCACCCACGCGGTATCCTATTGAATAAGAAAATAATTCAGCAAGTAAATGTAGCACATAGTAACAGGGTATCCCTGCATGTTTTTCCTGTATTAACTTGTTTCTTTTTGCTTAATTTTGTTCACAGTACGCATTAGACTTCCTTTTACGTACTGTTGCACAGTGCATTTTGTGTATCGTTGGTTTTAGTGCCTTCCGCAAAACTCATTGATTTTATTGAACTTTCTCACGCGACGCTCGTTTACGCCTCCAACAAATATAACGCACAAAATCAAAATAAAGCATGCAAATGAATATGTCAATGAACGTGTAACCATTCGATCTTCTTCCGCAAGACTGCGGGCTTAAGGCTAATCAAATCTCTGAAAACTCACAAATTCACCCTACACCGCCCAACCCCTATCTGCAGTATTGATAGCTCCTACCCTTTAGGAGCATCCAAAAAATGTAGCATCGGGTCTTAATTAAGGCCCTGTCATGCGTTTAAGATTTCAGAGATGAGTGTCAGAGTGGGAGGACACCATTTCGTGAAGCGTACATGCGCCGGGTCACGTACAATTTCATATTGCTTGAGTGACACAGATAGAAATGAAACATTGGCTGGATCTACAGACTGTTCGAGCTCAGTCGC